TTCCTGGTTTGGTTATCAGGGTGATATTTGCTTCATAGAATGTGTTGGGAAGTATTCCTTCTTTTTCTATGCTTTGGAAAACGTTGTATAATATAGATACTATTTCCTCTTGAAAGGTTTTATAGAATTTGGATATGGAGCCATATGATGCTGGACTTTTCTTTTTAGGGAGATTTTGTATTGATGATGCTATTTCAGTGGTTGATATAGGTCTATTCAAGATTTCTAATTCTTTCCAGTTGAGTTTAGGAAGGTGGTGTGCTTCTAGGTATTGGTCCATTTCCTTCAAATTTTCATATTTCTGGGAATAGAGGTTTTTGTTATAATCATTGAGGATTTTTTGAATTTCTGAAGTGTCTGTTGTTATTTCTCCTTCATCATTTCTGATAGACAATATTAGAGATTTTACTTTTCTATTTCTGGTTAGGTTGGCCAAAGGTTTATCAATTTTGTTAATTCTTTCAAAAAACCAACTTTTGTTTCTTTGATCTTCTGAATGATCCTTTTGTTTTCAATTTCATTTAATTCTGCACTAATTTTCGTTACTTCTTTTCTTCTGTTGGGTTTGGAGTTGGAATGTTCTTCCTTTTTCAGTTGCTTGAGATGATACATTAAGATGTTGGCTGCCTCTCTTTCTATTTTCTTGATGGAGGCTTCCAATGCTATAAATTTCCCTCTTAGGACTGCCTTTACAGTATCCCACAGGTGGTTTTTTGTTGTTGTTGTTGTTTTGCAGTTTTTGGCCAGGGCTGGGTTGGAACTTGCCACCTCTAGTATATGGGGCAGGCATCCTACTCCTTTGAGCCGTAGGTGCTGCCCCATACCACAGGTTTTGATAATTTGTGTCTTTGGTATCATTTAGTTCCAAAAACTCAGTGATTTCCTTCTTTTTATTTTTATTTTTTTTGAGACAGAGCCTCAAGCTGTCCCCCTGGGTATAGCACCATGGCATCAAAGCTCACAGCAACCTCTAACTCCTGGGCTCAAGTGAGTCTTCTGCCTCCACCTCCCAAATAGCTGGGACCACAGGCACCTGCCACAATGCCTGGCTATTTTTGGTTGCAGTTGTCATTGTTTGGTGGGCCTGGGCTGGATTTGATCCTGCCACCTTAGGTGTATGTGACTGGTGCCTTAGCCACTTGAGCCACAGGTGCCAAGCCAGTGATTTCCTTCTTAATCTTGTCTTTGACCCAGCTATCAGTCAGCCTAAGATTATTTAGCTTCCATGACTTTGTCTGAGTATGGAGATTCCCATTGCTGTTGAGTTCAACTTTTATTCCATGGTGGTACGAGAAGATACAAGGAATAATTTCTATACTTTTAAATTTGCTGAGGTTAGACGTGTGTCCTAAGATATTGTAAGGGTTAACAACTATTTTACAGCACATTCAAGTGAAAGTGCATCTTAGAAGGAGGCTCCTAACGACCTTGCTGATTAAGAAAAACGATACAAAAGACCAGAGGCGATTTAACACGTGCACACATTCCAAAGAAATTTACTCATATCACTCTCCACCTTCTTCCTACTTCATCCTCACAATACTAGCCTATCACAAACCAGGACTACATACACAACCAAATCTAGAAGTACCCCTCGTTTCCCCACTAACAAAACCTATATAACCCCCTACCTATTACAATAAACAGCTTCGGCTCAGTCCCTTTCCCAATATGTCTGTTTTTGTCTTATTTGTCTTTTCCTTTCATACTCCGACTCCCAAACCACCACCGCCCACTGGGTGGGCAGGCGGCAAGATATGGTCTATTTTGGAGGATGACCTGTGGGCTGATGAGAAGAATGTATATTCAGTTTTATTAGGGTGAAATGTTCTGTAGAGGTCTGTAAAGTCCATTTGTTCTAGGGTCAGGTTTAAGTCTAATATTTCTTTGTCTAGTTTCTTCTTGGAGGATCTATCCAAAACTGTCAAAGGGGTGTTAAAATCTCCAACTATTATAGTGCAGGAAGATATCAAGTTGTTCACATCCATTAGGGTCTGCTTTATAAATTGAGGAGCATCCTGGTAGGGTGCATAAATGTTCATTATTGAAATCTGTTCATGTTGGGTGTTTCCCTTGACAAATATGTAGTGACTTTCTTTATCGTTGTTGGTTTAAAGCTAATTGTATCTGCTACTAAAATTGCAAACTCTGCTTTTTTCTGGTTTCCATTTGCCTGTATTATACAAGTCCATCCCTTCACTCTGAGTCTATTTTTATCCTTTAAGGTAAGGTGAGATTCTTGTATACAACAGATATCTGGTCTGAGTTTATGTATCCAGTCAGCCAGTCTGGACCATTTGAACTGTTCACATTAATTGAGAGAATTGATAAGCCTGGTTGTGTTTTGGGTGTCATGATTTTCAGATGTCCAGTGGACAATTTTAATCCTTTCACCACTGTGGAAGTTGAGTTTTGTTCAAAAAATTTCTGGATGACTTTACATTGCAAGTAGAGCATTGCACTGGTCATTGTAGAGGATGGGTCTGAGAATATCCAGGAGAGCTGGTTTAGTCAGGGCAAATTTCTTCAACATATCTATGTCATTAAAGCATTTGATTTCTCCATTGCAAATGAAACCCAGTTTAGCTGGATAGAGAATCCTGGGCTGGCAGTTGTTTTGTTTTAAGAGATTGAAGGTTGATGACCATCTTCTACTGGCTTGAAATGTTTCAGCTAAGAGATCTCCAGTTATTCTGATATTTCTCCCTTTGCTTTTCTTAATTATGGCTGTTGCAGAATTTTCTCCTTCATCTTAACTTTGGCAAAGTTAATCACAATGTGTCTAGGAGATGCTTTATTGGGATTGAACCTTGCTGGGATTCTGAAACTGCTTTCTGAAGTTTTGTATCTCTTGCAATGCTTGGGAAATTCTCCTCCAAAATCTCTTGGAGTAGAGCATCTGTTCCTATAGGACCATCCTCTTCTTCTTCGAGAATTCCTATAAGACAAATGTTTGATTATTTGGAGTGATCCCTCAACTCTCTCAGGGAATGACCAGTTTTTGCTGTCCATTTGTCTGCCTCTTTGAGTGTTTGGGAACATTCAAAAGCTTTGTCTTCAGTTTCAGAGGTCCTTTCTTCTGACTGGTCAAGTCTATTACTGAGAGATTCTACTGTATTTTGGAGCTCCTCAACTAACTTTTTTTTTTCTTTGAGCTCTGATGTCTCTTTTCTCATTATGTCCATATCTTTGGTGACTTGGGCTTTGAATTCATTAATTTCTTGAGACAGATTTAGAATTACTCTTTGGAATTCAGTTTCCATCTTTTCTTCCATTCTATTTATCTTATTTGCCATCCATATTCTGAATTTGATTTCTGACATTGCTGCGATTTGTCTATGCATGGCATCTTCAGTTGTATCTCCTTTGTCATTTCTTGGGGGGATTGATCTACTCTGGTTATTCATGTTGCTAGAGTTCTTCTGTTGGATTCACACCATGTTTATTTTCCATTGTTTGGTTATTAGAACTGGTAGGGTGAAATTGAATCGGGGTTCCCAGGTAGTAGAGATAGCCCCTTTCAAAAGCTCTAGGCCAGGCATCCTCAAACTATGGCCTGTAGGCCACATGCAGCCCACCTAGGACATTTATCTGGCCCACCAGGTGTTTTTGCTGCCACTGCCTGTCCTGGGGCCTTCAGTCTGGCCCTCCAGGAGTCTGAGGGACAGTGAACTGGCCCTCTGTTTAAAAAGTTTGAGGACCCCTGTCTAGGCTTTGTAGCTGTGGCTTATCTTCTACAACCTTATAAAGTCCCCTTTCAGAGTTTTGGCTGGAGACTCTGACACTTACTTGGTGAGATAGTGTAGGCCAGCTCTGTTTTGATATCAGCCAACCTCTACCCTATCCTAAGAAATGACACTGTCAGATTTAAATCTCAACTGTGAAGAGATACAAACAGCTGCAGTGCCCAACCCCCACCCTTCAGTTCTTTTCCCCTACAGAACTTTGCAGTTTGGCTGGGGCTGGGTTTGAACCCTCCACTCTCAGTATATGAGGCTGGTGCCCTACTCACTGAGCCACAGGCGCTGCCCATATTTGGCCATCTTGACCCTCCCCATTTGCCTTTTGATATGATTTACTGAGAAGTATACAACCTCACTCCTGTGGTATTCTTGCCATATGCATAACTGTAATTTAACTGTGAGAAAATATTGGACAAACCCAGTGAGGGATACTTCAAACTACAGTCAACTCTCCATATCCATGGTTCTGTAACCTTGGATTCAACCAATCATGAATAGAAAGTATTTGGAGAAAAAAACTTCCAGAAAAATATTTCATATTTCATTGTTGCTGACTCCTCCTTGTATGCCAGTCTGATATACTCCATCACCAGGACCAGGAAAAAGCCCATAGTCAGGATAAATTCTTGAGTGGGGGAACTGGAGCATCACATGTAGGACCACAATAACCTCATCTGTGGCAGCCAGGTAGTTAGGCAGAAGGTCCAGACGATACATGGCCAAAAATATACCCCCTGTGAAGCAGTTAACTAGGGTCAGAACTTTCCGGTAGGAAGCTGATGCTTCATGGTTATCTCCAGACCAGTGTGGCACACAGCTAAGCACCAGACCAGGGCCCCTAACTTCACTTCCAGACCCACAGGCACTTGGGGCTCCAAAGCTACAGACTCTGGGTATCACACCAGGATCTCTGGTTCTTCCCAGGGTCCCATGGTGATTGTGGTAGCTCCAGTGACTCTCAGATCTTGCAAGGGTCCCACTACATGGTGTCTGGTTGGTTCTAGCTTCCAGTTGGGAATTCCTGCCACCTCTCATCACTGTCCCTTTCCTCCCATCTTCTGATTCTCCTAAGTCATGAAATAATCATGAAAAAGAGAATTTTTTTTTTAGAGACAGAGTCTCACTTTGTCACCCTTGGTAGAGTGCTATGCCATCACAGCTCACAGCAAACTCCAGCTCTTGGGCTTAGGCAATTCTCTTGCCTCAGCCTCCCAAGTAACTGGGACTACAGGCACCCGCCACAATGCTCAGCTACAAAAAGAGAAATTACTAAATAGTTCTAAACTACTAAAAGAATAAATATGAGAATAGTATGAATAGTATTAGAAAAGTTTTTAAATATTTAAGTCTTGTAGTTGCATTTTGGCTTTATAGTTTCCTTGTGTGTGTTCAAAGCATAAAAATAACAGCATGAATAATAAAACACAGTTTTACTGTAGAATGTATGATATCATCCCAAGTAAAGCAGACAGAAAAGGAAAGCTGGAGAAAAACTATAGAATGTAATTAGTTAAAACATTACTAATTCAACACATTGATAATTCTTCACTTGGCCTATTCTTACAGTATGGGCCACAAAATAAATCATCATTGAAAGTATGAATAAAAGCTATTATGCTCTGCTATTTGGAATCATATGGAATATTAAAAACTATGCTTTAACTTATACATTGGCATATATAGTGTGTATTTACACACATATATCTATCCAGTGTAAAAGTTTGAGGAGAGAAAAATATAAACAAGATAGAGAACAAAAACTAAAGTGACATTTTTCTCCTAAAAAATGATGTATTCTTAGAGTAGTTTTCAAATTATTGAAGAAAAAGAATTCATATAAGATAGCTTAAGTTTCCTTTGTGTAGCCCAACACATTATTTTATCATAGTTTATGCACGGTATATACACTGCCACTTCCATATTTACTTCAGTTTTGATAATTAATCTAATTCCTTAAAAATAAATGTAAAATTCTTACGATTCTACAATAGTGCAAAGTCTTGGCATAAATGATGCTGCAAAGTGGCAGTTCTGGAGGAAGACCCATTGATGTGTTTTGTTGAGTGCCTTAAAAATGAGGTCTTCAGCTTTAGTTGCCTGGCCACGGCCCAGAGAAATCATGGTCACATGATCTGTTGTTCCTTTTAGCTCCTGTGCCAATCTCAGGAGAACATTGGTGAGGTCAATTCCTGTATAACAAAGTGGAGAAGTTCATAAAACTGTGAGCTTAATTTAATAACAATTAGACAGCGAGTTTAATTATTTCTTAAAAAACACAATCCAGCATTTATCGAGTGGTGGTGTGAGAAGTTACACCCATAATAAAGAGAGTATAGGCTTTGAAATTAGAGCCCAGAGTTCAAATTTTGCCTCTACTATTTACCAGTTGGGTGACTATGTTTCCTAACATATGGGGATGATGATATCTAAAGACAGCCCCACTTGCTTGTTGCCCATCCTGCACCTACTTATCCTTTCCTCTTCTGTAATCCTACCCCAGTGTCATTTGAGATGGCCTGGTACCCAGCTAAAATACTACATTTTTTGCCTTTCTTGTGGCTAGCTATGGCATCTAGGTTTTGGGATTAGGTTGAGGGAGCAAAAATATGTTGCAAAAGTGATGTACGATAATTTTGATACCTCCTTAAAGGGAAGAGGTGTGCCCTCTGCTTCCTTCTATTGTTTAGAACATGGCTGTGATGACTAGAGCCTTAGCCACCATCTTGGGTAAAGTCTTCAAGAAATAAAAAGCACCTACTATTAGTGTGTTTGGCATATGGCCAGGCACTTTGCACAGAAATGACCCAGGTGAGAAAGGCTCTAGGTAGAGGCACTCTGGACAAGGTTTTATGTCATGGGATCAAAATTTGAAAATGGTGAATCCTAAAGACACATTTGATTTGGAGACCATGAGGAACAGATACATGAAGATAATATTTTGCTTAGAAGAAAACATTTTACTTAGCGTTTATAGAGCAAAGATAAGAAAAGAACAAAAATTTGGAGTTTTTTAGTCAGTTTATTTTAATTGTTTGTGATTCATTGCAGGCACAAAGAATTAGGTTACACTGATTACATTTGTTAAAGTCCCTTTTGTAATTGTGTCCCACCCCCAAGAGTTGTGCCATACACTGTGACACCCACCTCCCTCTCTATTCCCTTCTCCCTGCTCCCTTATTCCCCTACCACCTCTTCTATTGCCTTCATATTAGAATTGAGTACCTTTGATTTTATTCTCAATTCTTGTGATGCTTTACTAAGAATAATGTGTTCTACCTCCATCCAGGTTTATATAAAAGATATAAAGTCTCTATCTTTTTTAACGATTGAATAGTATTCCATGGTATACATATACCACAGCTTGTGGGTCCATTCCTGGGTTGGTGGGCATTTGAGTTGTTTCCACATTTTGGTGATTGTAAATTGAGCTGTGATAAACAGTGTTGTTAGTGCAAATGGATTTTTTTCTTCTGGGTACATGCCTAGTAATGAGATTGCAGGATCAAATGGGTGGTCTAATTTGAGTTCTTTGAGGGTTCTCCAAATTTCCCCTTCTGTCCACATTCACTCCATCTGCAGCTTTGAGACTTTGTGATGTGGGTTATTCTCACTGGGGTTAGGTGATATCTCAAGGTAGTTTTGATTTGCATTTCTCTGATGATTAGGGACGATGAGCATTTTTCATATGTTCCTCTGTCTTTTTTAGAGAAAGTTCTATTCATGTCTCTTGTCAATTCCATATTGGTGGGTCTTTTTTGGTTGATTAATTTGAGTTCTCTGTAGATTCTAGTTATTAAGCTTTTGTCCCATTCATAATATGCAAATATCTTTTCCTAGTCTGAAGATTGTCTATTTGCTTTGTTGTGTTCCCTTAGCTGTACAGAAGCTTTTCAGTTTAATTGAGTCCTATTTGTTTATTTTTGTTATCGTTGCAATTGCTACAAACATCTTTTTCATAAAATCTTTCCCCAGGCCAATATCTTCAAGTATTTTCCCCACACTTTCTTTGAGGATTTTTATTGTTTGATGCCTTAGATGTAAATCCATCTTAAGTCAATTTTTGTAATTGGTGAGAGGTGTGGGTCCAGTTTCTGTTTTTACATGTGGTTATTTAGTTCTTCCAACACTGTTTATTTATTGAATAGGGGTTCTTTACCCCAGTGTATGTTCTTGTTTGGTTTATTAAAGATCATGTGGCTGTTAGATGTTAGTTTCATCTCATGGTTTTCTATTTGGTTTCAAATATCAACGTCTCTATTTCTGTGCCAATATCATGCTGGTATAGCCTAAGGTCTCTACAGCCTTATAGTATAGCCTAAGGTCTGATAGGGTGATATTCTCAGCTTTGTTTTCATTACTAAGAATTGTCTTGGCTATATGGTTTTCTCTGGTTCCATACAAAATGAAGAATTATTTTTTCCAAATCTTGAAAGTATGATGATGGCATTTTAATGGGCATTGCATTGAATCTGCAGTTTGCTTTGGGAAGTATGGACATTTAGACAATGTTGATTCTTTCCAGCCAAAAGTCTGGTATATTGTTCCATTTGTTAATATCTTCTGGCATTTCTTTTCTTAGGATTTCATAATTATCTTCATAGAGGACCTTCATAGAGGTACTTCATCTCTTTTGTTAGGTATATTCCTAGGTATTTCATTTTTTTTTTTTTTGGAAGCTATTGTGAAGGGAATTGTGTCCGTGATTAGGTTCTCATCTTGGCTGTTATTGGCATATACAAAAGCTACTGATTTGTGGACATTGATTTTATATCCTGAGATGTTACTGTATTTTTTTTTTAATCACTTCTAGGAGTCTTGTAGTTGAGTCTTTGAGGTTCTCTAAGTACAAGATTGTATCATTGGCAAAGAAGGAGAGTTTGACCTCCTCTGCCCCCATTTGGATGCCCGTTATTTCCTTCTCTTGCCTGATTGTATTGGCTAGAACTTCCAGCACTCTGCTGAATAATAATGGCAATAGAGGACAACCTTGTCTGGTTGGAAAAGTTCTAAGTGGAAAAGCTTTCAGTTTTACTCTATTTAGTATATTATTAGCTGTGGGTTTGTCATAGATAGCTTTAATCAGTTCAATAAATGTGTTGCCTATACCTATATTATTAAGTGCTCTAATTAGAAAAGGATTTGCACATGTTAAATGAAACATCTCTGGGATGAAACCTACTGGATTGTGATGAATAATTTTTTTAATGTATAACTGTAATCTATTGGCCAGGATTTTATTGAGAAATTTTGCGTCTATATTCATTAGTGAAATTGGTCTGAAGTTCTCTTTTTTAGTTGGGTCTTTTCCTGGTTTTGGTATCCAGGTGATGTTTGCATCATAGAATGTGTTGGGGAAGATTTCTTCCTTCTCAATTTTTTTTGGAATAATTTCTGCAGTATGGATATGAGCTCTTCTTTGAAGGTTTTATAGAATTCTAGTGTGAAGCCATCTGGACTAGGGCATTTTTTTGTTGGGAGAATTTTTATTGTTTTTATGATCTTAGTTCATGAAGTCAGCCTGTTCAAGAGATCTATTTCTTCTGATTAAGCCTAGGGAGAGAGTGTGACTCCAGGTATTGATCCATTTCCTCCATATTGTCAAATTTGTGGGCATAGAGTTTCTAAGTCTGTTGCCATCCTAATGGCTCTGCCTCTTTAGGTCAGTTGGCATTTACTCCCAGCTGCTTGCAGAATTTTTTCTTTCATCTTGACTTTGGACAGGTTCATTACAAAGTGTGTTGGAGAAGTTCTGTTTGAATTAAGATCACCTAGGGTTTAATATTCATCTGAAAGGAGTGTGCTGAGATTGTTAGTAAAACTTGGTAAGTTTTCATTTTTGATAGTCTACAGTGGAGCATCCATTTCTTTGGGACAATCTTCTTCCCCTTTATTTTTATTTATTTTATTTTATTTTTTTTTTGAGAAAGAATCTCACTTTGTGGCCCTTCATAGAGTCAGAGCTCACAGCAACATCCAACACTTCGGCTTAAGCAATTCTCTTGCCTCAGTCTCCCAAGTAGCTGGGACTACAGGTGCCTGCCACAACACCCAGCTTTTTTTTTTTTTTAAGGGATGAGATTTTGCTCTGGCTTAGGGTAGTCTCAAATTCCTGAGCTCAGGGCAATTCACCTGCCTTGGCCTCCCAGAGTGCTAGTATAACAGGCATCAGCCACTGCACCTGGCCTTCTTCCCCTTTAGGGATTCCTATTATTCATATATTTGTACACTTCATGAAGTCTCATAGTTCTCTAAGTGACTATTCGGTTTTCTCTCTCTTTCTCTCTTCTTTTCTCTTTGCCTGCCTGGGTTGACTCGAAAACTTTATCCTCTTGCTCTGAGGTTCTTTTTTTCTCCATAGTTTAACCTATTTTTGATGCTTTCTACTGCATCTTTACATTCTCTGATTATCTCCTTCATTTCCTTAAGCTCTTCCATATCCTTTCTATATTCCACATATCTCTGATCTGACTTTAGGCTCTGTCTTTCTGTTTTCTTATCCATTCCTTTTATTGTCTTTATCATTCACATTTTAAATTCCTTTTCTGTCAAGTCCATTAATTCTTTATAGACTCTACTGAGTCTTCTGCAGTAACTGCCTCATGGTCCCTTGGGGGAAGTTCCTCTGTTTTGGTTTTTCATGTTCCCTGAATTTTTCTGTCAGTTCCTTCTCATATCTTCTTTTTTCATGTTCACCTCCTTATCTCCCCTTTTCCTTCTTGCTTCCTCCTTTGCTTCAAATTACTTTGTCTCAGAGCTTATGTCAAAAGGAAGAGAAGTGTACAACACAAGCAAGGAGAAACAAGAGGAAAAGAAAGAAAGAATAAAAAAGAAGGAAACAGAAAAAGAAAATAGAAAAAAGGGAAGGGAATGAAAGTAAAGAATTGAAGAACAGGAGAGAATGAGGACAGGAAGAGAGAATGAGAATGAAATGAGAATGATAGAAGAAATGATATTGATTTCATGGCCAATGGCAATGTTAAGGCCGCACTTGTAAATCAAGGATTTTGAGGGTCTGGGTTGGGTGTGTTCCTCAAAATCAGGAGCTCCTTACCAGCCTCAGCAAAGTCAAACTTTTCTTCTACCAAAAAAAGAAAGAGAAAGAAAAGAGCAAAAACAAAAAACAAGAAGGAAAAAATAAATAAAAATGGAAAAGAAATAGAAAAATTCTACATGTGGACTTGTGAAGGCTGTCTTTCCAGAGTCAAACTAGAATGGCTCCCTAGACCATGATCTTTTGGTCTCCTTGAGCCAGACTACTTCTGTGACCTTCTGGCCAGGGCAGGAGGTCATGCTATCCCATTACTCATCAAGAAAAGAAAAGACAGAACAGAAAAGGAAAAAATGATAATAAAATAAGAATAGGTCAAGAAAATTAAAAATACAGTTGTATCAAATAAAGGAGAGAGAGGGAAAAGGAAAAAGGAAAGAAAGAAGAAAGACCAAAAAAAGGAGGTGATATCTTAGCTATTGCACAAGTGATTTATGTGGGAAAGATGAGGAAAGTAGAAGAGTCTCTATCAAAAAAGAGATTGAAGAGGAGTGAATTGGAGAGAGGCTAAAATACTGTGACCAAATATTCAGGAGTCCTTGCTCTTGATGAAAGTGAAAATGGAAGTTAAGAACAGAACCAGTCAAACAAATTAGCAAAAACAATAGACAAAGAAGCCAAACAAACAAACAAAAACCTAAATAGACAAAAACAGCAGCAATCTCAGCAACACAGAAGAGAAAAAAATAAAAGGGAAAAAAATACTAAGAAAAAATATATTTATATTTTATATATTTATAAAGTTGGAAAGGACCAACTTTAATGGAAATACATATGTTGTAATACATTGCCACGGGGAATATATATATTCCAGGTGGTGTTGTATCTTTTTTTTAGGAGACAGAGAACACAGTCAGCAACCCCTATGGTTTTTATTCGTAAATTATTTGCCATTGGCAATTGTCTGATTGTTTCCTCAGCATTCAGATCCTGTTGGGTTAGGATCTTAAAGCTCACAAGAATCCTTTGGGGCAGGTCTCACACCTATTTCTGTGGGGTGCAGGGGTCCCTCAGACTGTCCCAAGAGTGGAGTCCTAATCCTGGCAGGCAGAATTAAGACAGCTGTGCTTTAGGTCCCTGCTAAGACCTTCTCACATCTTCCCACAATGGCAGACCCCTGGGCACTGAGAACTTCCCATTATGGCTACCCCGCCAGCCACCAAACCAATGGCAAATCCACTCCAACCAGTATTTAAATCTGGTTCTTGCATTCAGTTTGAGTCTGCCCATTCTTCCAAGCTTTTCGCTCAATGCGAATCTTCCCTCCTAAATCAAAAATTCCAGAAAGGCTTCCTCCTGTCTCAGACCTTCATGAAGGGGTGGGGGGGTGGGGCAAAGGGGGGAAGGGCTGACCAATCCTGGTAGGTCATAATCATTTGTCTAATGAGTCAGATTTCTGCTGCTCTATATCACTTGCTTTATCCAGTTCACCATCTCCTTGTTGTGCTCCCTGAGCTAGGTTTCTGGGTAGGGTCCTGGTGCCAGGTTTGGCTAGGTTCTCTCTTTTTCCCTAGTCTTACTAGGAGAGCTCAAATGGATGATCCTTCTGATCTGATCTTGCTCTACCCCATTACATTTGGAGTTTTGAGGAATATAAGGGTTGGATCAGCAGGCTCAAATTTCTCATAGTTTATTTTATAACATATATTTTTGTAAAAGTCAATGTTAATTAAAACATTTAATAAATGTAAGGGCAATCACAACTTTCAGATCAATTATTATTGCAGAAAATTAGCACTGACATACATTTTTTCATATTTATGAATCTGAGTTTTATTTCTCTTTTTCTTTTATATTAAAAATTATTCTTAATACATTCTTAAAGTTTAAAGTTATAATTAGTTTTTCTAGAAATGTTTAAATCAGATTAGGAAAATATTTTAAACACAGAGTAACCTGACATTTCCACATCTTTTGGTTGATAACATATCAACATCTTCACTATTCACAAATAGCTTACCATGAGAGTAAATAAGTACCAATGGAGTTCTGGCATTGGATTGTTCAAATGATTCTTTCAGATTAACTTCAGTTCTTTGAAGATATTCACTTCCCATTTTTTCAATAATGAACTTTTTAACCGAATTTTTTAAATGTTCTGGTCTAAGGATTTTTACCTACAAAAGAAACTGAGTAAGATAAAATAAAAATAAAGCCCCCTGCCCCCCGGAGAATATTCCCTATGATAAAATGAATAAAAATAAGAAGTATTCGGTCTTTAGCTTTTCAGCCAGAGTTTTCTGGTGTTTCTCCTGTTGGGAAAGTTTAATGGGCGAGAGTCCACACATGGTGGAGAGACTGTCACTGTGCTCTTGGCCCACATGGGGACCCTTCCTAGACACCAGGACTATATTGTGCCTCTATTTCACTCACATTCTGAGTGAAGTCTCACTTTCGATAAAGATCCAAGTAACACTTCCTGATTCTGAAAAAGGAGATCTTTTCTCTGAGTTTCTTCTTGCTGTGCTATCCATGTCTAGAGCAGGAAAATTTCATGGGAGCAAGAGGGATGAAAAATCCAGGATGATACAACTGGAAGAGTACTAATTTTCCCATTAATAAAATGAAGATGGATGGCACAATCCTTGTATGTTTAAGCAAATAGAATACAAATCTAAACAGAACTTTAGATGGACTAAAGGTTTTAGAAACAGTATACACGTAATTAAAATTCAGAGTCTATTAGAGATTATTGTCAATTTTAGAAGAAAGGCCTTTTCAATAAAAACTGTTTTATACAAATCACTTATATGCTATACTTTTAAATAATAACCATAAGATATGTCCTGGGCACATTCAGTACCCAGGATACCATTATTTAAGGCAAAACTGAAACTGTGCATATTTGTGGGTCTGTGCAGATATACTAGGTTGAATGATGTAAAGTTGTAATTTTTACCCATGAAAGTGCCAAATATTTGTAATTTTATATGTTTAACACAATACATTTAATCATTATGCCAAATTCTATTATTTTCTGTTACCTTTTGGGAAAATTAATCTTAAAGTTTTGTTTTAATGAATCACTTATTTTTAAAAATGAAAAATTAGTACATGCAATTAATGACACAGTATTAGAATCATTTGAGTGAAACAAATGACTAGTTATGTTCCCCTGAGACCATCACTGGAGAGTCTATGTCACCAAATGTGATCTTGATCCTTTGTCACCATCATGCTACTAGCTCCGCCTTGACTGTATTGATTATTCAATCATTTATTAAATTTCTCAACTGTGGAAAATTTTAACCTTAACAGCATTTTCTGAGGGGTGGAAGAGAAAGAGAAGATAGAAGAGAAGGTAAGATAGAAAAGAGAAGATAGAAAAAATGGAGTTACATTAGCTCTTTTCTAAGCAGCCACAAATAGTTCTGAAATTTTCTGCATGTCCATATCCCCTCATTATGATCTTTCTCCCCCTCTCTTTATGGTCTAATAGGCAATAGCAGTGAAGAGGGGTGAAAAAACTAGACAAAGTTCTTGTCTTCATGGAATTCTAAGATACTCTCTTTCTCTAGGTCAAGCCTTATTTCTATTATATTTTACTCTAATATCTTATGTGGCAATCTCAATATCTTATAGGTCAGACCCAGTTTCAAATATTCAAACTCCTTCTCTATATGTACATTCAATACTTTATTGGACCATGTCTTCTGACTTCTGGTTTGGAAAATAAGATCACTATAATAACGGCTCTAGTTTACAAACTAAAATCACTAGGAACTTATTGGGGGAAGGTAATGTAGCACGAATCTTAAAATCTAGTTGTTTTTGTTGTTCAGATAATTCATACTTGCTACATAAAATTCAAGTGATACAAAGCAGTATGAATTGAAAATGATTTTCAATTATAGAAAATAACCATAGATAGGGTTGGGGTTAGGGCTCTTTATAGATACTTTGTGGCTCCTCATAGGTATTTTCTACACCCATGCAAGCATCTCTGTACACTTCCTCCTTTCCCACAGTTATTCTATATAGATTGTTTACTGTTTTGTATTTGTCAATTAGTGCAGCTTAAATGTTATTTTCATGTCATGATAATCCCAGTAATCCAACATGTAGAGTAGATGTATCAATTTTCTGACAGTTTCCAGGTAGATAACAAAAATTAGAAAAGTGGGTTGGTAGCAGAAAAATAATTCTCCATTAGAAGAAAAATGAAGATATAAATATGATGTTATATAGTAACTAACATTCAACTCCAATTTTGGGAAGCAATAGGCAGCATTAGAGACTGTAGTGTCCTAGACCAAGGCCCAGACACTAATCAGCTCTAGCTATTGCCATTGAGGTATGTGGGCTCAATATTGACTGATTTTCTACCTTTTTGATAAAGCCAGAAATATTGATTTTTATTTAAAATCTCTCAATACTCAAATTTTGGCTCAAAAATTAAGAAACCCAAACCTTCTATGAACAAATACATGTTCATAGAAGAATTATTCACAATAGTCAAAAGGTAGAAACAACATTTGTTGTCCGTCAATGGATAAAGGGATAAACAGAATATGATATACACATACAATGGAATATTACTTAGCCTCAAAAAGGAGGGATATTCTGAGACATGCTAACACATGGGTGAATTTTGAAAATATTGTACTAACTGAAATAAGTCAGACACAAAATGACAAATATTATGTGATTTGAGACAAAAAGTAGCCAGGAGGAGGGAATGGGGAGTTACTATTTAACAAGTATAGAATTCCTATTTAAGATGACCACAAAGTTCTGGAAGTGGATGGGAATGATGGTTGCATACCATTGGGAATGTACCAATGCCACTGAATTTCACACTTAAAAAGGCTTAAAAGGGATTATTATGATTAAATGAAATAATGTATATATATTTTATCACAATAAAAATGGAGAACAATTCACTTTAAGATGCATATAGAATTTAAAAATTAGTGAATAATATTTATTTTAGTTATTTTTACTTAAAAACTTGCTATGGTCTGAATGTTGGTGTCCCCCTTACCTTATTCATGTGTTGGAACCTAATCTTCTAATGTGATAGTATGAAGAGGTGGATCCTTAGGAGAGGATTGGATCATGAGGGCTCTACCTTCATGAATGGGGTTAATTACATTACAAGGTTTGAGGGGGCCTGTTTTTCAGTGTGAGGACACAGCAAGAAGGCAAGCTCTCATCAGACTGAGGTTCAAATCCACTTGTTTAGTGATAAATTGCACTTGAAAAGTTGAAAAAAACACTAAAGCACAATGGCAAGACAAATAAAAAGCATATCTACTAAGCCAGATGCAGGCTTTTTTTTTTTTAAATTCTCTGTGTAGAATGAATTTTTAAAATGTTGCAAAAATAAAATTTAAGGCAGAAGTCAAAAGATGGATTACTGATGGTCCAGGCTGTCATTTTCAGAAAATTAAGTAGAAATGGGATGAGGGATTTTCTCCTCACTAAACTGGAAGGTAAAAAGATTTTCAAACAATGGGGATCAATTTGGGATTATCTACTTGGGAAAGTGTAATATAGTATGACTTACAAGAGCACAGATATTAGAGCCAAACTGTTTGAGATCCAATTCTGGATCTTTTAGGCAATTTATAAGCTTTGGCTTCCCAATCTGAAAAATAAGAGAATCTGCCTACTCTCCAAGACTATTATAATAGGGATTAAGTGGTATGACATATGTGAAGTCTTAACATATACTAAAGTTGGGTGGTGCCTGTGGCTCAAAGGAGTAGGGCACCAGCCCCATATGCCAGAGGTGGTGGGTTCAAACCCAGCCCTAGCCAAAAAGTGCAAAAAACAAAACAAAACAAACAAGAAAAACATATACTAAACTTTTGATGTCTTGGGGGAGCTCATAAATGACATCCATGCACATCCCTAACCCACCAGCTACTCCACCAGCTAGCTTCTAAAATAATTGAGAAATAGAAGAGTTGGGTAAAATATCACCTTTATTAATAATAAAGGCCATGTTGATGGATATAGATTAAGTCTGAGGTAACAAGGTGTTTCCTGATAATGAACCTAGAACTGGACATAACTTATCTGTTGCAAACACTGCTGGTTAGCCATTGGTCTCCCCCTGAGGGACCATGGTCTGTTCCTGTACAATTTATGAAAATTGAGAAGTAGTATGGTGTTTGGAAAAATTGGAAAATCAGAGAAGTAGTATGCTGTTTGCAGGCAGACACATCCCAAAAGGGACAGAGAAGAAAGGGCTGAGGCATGCACTCTCAGTTCACCTCCCATGTTTATCAGTCTGATAACCCTTCCTCCTCTCTAGGGAGGAGTAAATGAAAGGACAGACAGATGCTGGAAATGATATTCTAACTAGATTCTTTCCACGTGAGAGAGACATCAAGGGTGGAGTGCAAGCGCTTTCTTCTCACATCACTATTTACTGAATGTTAACTTAAAAAAAAAACAATATATTTTACACATAAATATTTAATTTTGAAGGGCTTAAGTTACCAGTAGATTGTTTAAAACGTTTATGATATTAATATTTTGTCATAGCACATCTTACCAAAATAAGTCTTTGAAATGGAGTGAGTTTCTCCCAATGAAAATTTATAGGATTACGCATATCTTCATTTTCATTCCAAAGTTCACCTTGATATAATTTAGAGAAGGAAACTGAGATCAATAATCAAGTACTTTGTATCATTAAATGATACATAATGAAAATTTGTTATAAAATTGTTAAGTATTTTTAAAAACATGGCTGACTTTTATTTTTATTTATTTATTTTTTATTTTTTGAGATGGAGTCTTATTTTCTTGCCCTGGTAGAGTGCTGTGGCATCATAGCTCACAGCAACCTCAAACTCTTGGGCTCAAGTGATTCTCTTGCTTTATCCTCCCAAGAGTTGGGACTATAGGCACTGGCCACAACACCCATCTGTTTTTAGAGACAGGGTCTCACTCTTGCTCAGGTTGGTCTCAAGTTCCTGAGCTTAACCAATCTACCTCCCAGAGTGCTATGATTAGAGGCGTGAGCCACTGCTCTTAGCCCCATGGCAGACTTTTTTTAAATTTGTGCTTCAGCTTTTTATTTATTTATTTATTTTATTCAGATGTGGATTTTATTGTATTTTTTAAAATTAAATCATAGCTGTGTACGGCTCGGCGCCTGTGGCTCAAGCAGCTAAGGTGCCAGTCACATACACCTAAGGTGGCGAGTTCGAATCCAGCCCGGGCCCGCCAAACAATAATAATGGCTGCAACCAAGAAATAGCCGGGTGTTGTGGCAGGCGCCTGTGGTCCCAGCTACTTGGGAGGCTGAGGCAGGAGACTTGCTTGAGCCCAGGAGTTGGGAGGTTGCTGTGAGCAGGAAGCCACGGCACTCTACCCAGGGGGACAGCTTGAGGCTCTGTCTCAAAAAAAAAAAAAATCATAGCTGTGTACATTAATACTGTCATGGGGTACAGTGTGCTGTTTTTATATACAATTTGAAATATTTTCATCAACCTAGTTAACATAGCCTTCATGTTATTTTCTTAGTTATATGTGAATCCTTCTAAATGTAGAATGTCTTAACCCATGGCAGACTTTTAAACTGAGCTTGATTTCCAAAGGATGTGAGACACCATTACTTCCTTAATACCTCAAAAGAGGCAGACATTAAGGTAGATTTAAGTTTCAACTTGGTCTAACTGAAGTGGTTGATAAATAGTGGTAAGATGATGGACAGGTGAAAAAATAATATGCAAAGCAAAGGGCATAGTCAATGCTTTAAAACCTGCTCCAGCACATGCAATATTTTCTGATGATATAAACTAGTAACTCTAGAGGTTAGGGATTTCTATTTAAAACCTATCTGGAAGATATATATGTGTGTGTGTGTGTGTGTGTGTGTGTGTGTGTGTGTGTATGTATATACATGTATATATATAATGGAACTTACAGAAAAATATAATAAGATTATGAAATTTTTGAACACTTAAATATTATATCTACATATATTTTAATACTGACCCATCTACTACTTCAATAGAGTCCTAGTGGATCAATCTTGTCACTTTATCAGTCTTGTCTTCCCACCTTAAAAGGTGGGAAGTCTTTCAGTTTTCAACTGTCTCAGATGAAGTTATCATTTCTGCCTACTTTTTTTCCCTATGGTATTTTCACATTGTCTAATTTTAAATACAACTTAGATGATAGAAATAGCTTTTTGGAATATTAGTATGTTCTTAAAAAACATGATACATGAACATATAGTTACATAGGGATAAATTTGGGGTTATTTGCTAAATAAAAAGATATTCACTTTACAAAAAAAGGTCATTAAAGAGTTATTTAAAATAAAAGTTACTCTTGTCTTACAGTAAAATAAAGTATGGGTTACAAATAGATTAGTGATAGATGTACCAAAAAACCCTGGTGACTTAGAGAGAAAACACTAGGGGAGGAGGGGACCTTAATCAGAACTGGAAATCAAGAGGGTATAAAAGAAAAAATCAGACATAACTGTCTAGATGAACATTTAAACATTTGTATAGTATAGATACTATAAATAAATCAATTGACAATAAATATATTTGGAAAAAATATTTGAATAAACAGGCTCAAATATATAATACAACAAAATTTTAATTATATATAACATAGTAAGATTCTTACAAATGGTCAAAAAGGAAATAAACAATCTAGTAGGAAAAAGTGGGATAAGGTATATGAATAGGCAAATCCAAATGATCAATACACATCAGAAAAGATACTTAATCAACTGAGGTCTGTGTTCTAACAAAAAAAAGAAAAAAGAAAAAAGAAAAAATACTTAAACTCTCTAACAGGGAAATTAAAATAAAATTATTTCAAACTTTTCAGATGGGCAAAAATTAAAAAAAATCAATACTCCTGTTGGAAAAGGGGTATTCATATTGCTAGCAGAAATATAAATTATCATAGACTTTTAAAGAAAGCAAGCTGGCAGCAACTGTTAACATAAAAATGATTTACTTTTGACTCATTAATTAATTCCACTTACTTAATTCCACTTCTGGTTATTTTATTCTATAGTTATAAACCTAAAGGAAATATGGGCAAGGATGTTTATGTTGTTGCATAGCATAATTGTATATTATGGCAAAAATCTGGAAGCTAAGTAAGGGAAAATGTAGAATGAAACAAATTAGGTTGTATCCTGAGTGGGGATGTTATGGATGAAGTGGCAGGGAAAAGTAGGGAGGTGAGTTCAAAATGAAAAAAGAAAAGGGAAAATATGTGCAAAAAATAGTAAATGAGTTCCATTTAAAATAAGATCCATTTCCACATAATTTTAAAAACACATATCTGTTAAAATGAGGGATATACATAGGCTTGTTCAGACTCAGGGTAGTGTGGTGTAATAAAACTAGTATGGTCTATTTAATCTCTCTGAAATTCTAATTTTTTATTAGGATTTTCCATCAACAAAAATGAGGTTCAAAATAATCATTTCATAAGATTGTTATGACGATTACATTGAAATAATGTTAATGCTTAGAATATGGTTGTTTCTACCCTCCATTTTTTAATAATATAAGATATTGAACTATAAAACTGAAAATCTATATACACATGTGTACTTGAGTAAGATTAAAACATTGAATGCATTCTTACTCTTCTCTGATGGTTTTGTACTTTCATTCGGTGAAATCTTTTCTGGGGAGAAAGGTGTGCTGACCAAAAAATAAACATTCTCACTATTCTTGAAAGTATTCCATTGTAATACATTTGATAAAAGGGATTTGCACAGAAGTGAAAATGGTTCCAGTTGACGGCTAACATATTGGCACTGCTTCCACCTGGTGCTTGAAACCCACTGAAGATGTTGGTTTCTACGGATTGCAAATAAACCTAATAGTAAAGGAAAAAAAATTATATAAGAAGAGATAAATCCTTTACCTTTTAGTTACTCATTAGAAAGCAGATAATTAACACAAATTTGTTATTGAGAAAAAGCTACTCTACATAAATATTACATAAAAGGTAATTCTTTTCATTGTGGTAAAAACACATAAGATAAAATTTATCAAATTAACCATTTTTAAGTGTGTAGTTCAGTTAGTGATAAGTGCATTCATTTGTTGTGAAACAGATCTCCAGAACTTTCCCCGCAAATCTGAAACTCTACCTGGGATGGGGGAACCTGGAACCTTCTGATTTTAAGATTCTTCTTTCTTATTCAACAAAGGAGGAAAGAAAAGCTTTGTTTTTCTTTGCCACACTCCTTTTACTGAAAGGATTTGTTCTGCAAAATTTGGATTCTTTCAAAAGGCACTTAAAGACCTAGAGGGCCACATTTCTCCTTAAGCCCACAGGTTAGATTGCCCCTCCTTGCAGATCTGGAATACCACTATTCTCCTTTTTGTTTCTAGGAATTTCACTACTTTAGATACTTCACATAAGTAGAATCATATGATATTTGTCTTTTTGTGGGCTGGCTTATTTCACTTAGTGTAATGTCTTCAAGGTTTATCCATGTTGTAGTATGTGACAAGATTTTCTTCTTTTTTAAGACTGAATAACATTCCATTGTATGTTTATAGCACATTTTGTTTATCCAATCAGTGGCAAACATTTGGGTTGCTTCCACCTCTTGGCTATTGTAAATAGTGCTGCTATGAATGTGCATGTACAAATATTTCTTTCATATGTTGCTTTAAATTATTTTGGATATATACTCAATGTGGGATTGCTGGATCATATAGTAGCTCTGTTTTCAGTTTTTTGAGGAAACTCCATACTCTTTTCAATAGTGATTGCACCATTTTACAATCCCACGAAGAGTGCAGAAGGTTATATTCCTTCACATTCTCAACACTTGTTATTATTGTTTTTTAGTAGCCATCTCAATGGGTATGAGGTAATAACTCATTGTGGTTTAGATATTCATTTCTCTGATGATTAGTGATATTGATAACCTTTTCATATGTTTGTTAGCCATTTGTATATAATTTTTGAAGAAATGTCTGTTCGAGTCCTTTGCCCATTTTTAAATTGGGTTGATTTTTATTTTGTTGTTGAGTTGTAGGAATTATTTATATATTCTGTATGTTAACTCCTTATCAGATAGATGATTTGCAAATATTTTCTCCCATTCTATAGGTTGATTATGTCCTTCGATGCACAAAAGTTTTAAGTTTGATGCAATCCCATTTATCAACTTTCATTTTTGTTATCCATTCTTTTGGTATCAGATCCATAACATTATTTCTGAGTCCAACGTCACAAAGCTTTTCCCTTGTGTTTTGTTCATACAGGAGCTTTCTTGTACGTAGGAGTCACTTTGCTCTTGCTGCTTTCAAGATTCTGTCTCGCCTCTGACTTTAAACAGTTGATTATAATGTGTCTTGGTGTGTTTCTTTTTAAATTTATGTTGGTGGAATTCCTTAAGCCTCTTGAATCTGTACTTCTATTTCTTTTCTCAGATTTAGGAAGTTTTGTCGATAATTTTTTCAAATAAGTTCTCTACTCATTTCTTTCTGCTTCTTCTCATTCTCCTTCTTCTTCTCTCTTTCCTCTTCCTTCTTGTCCCATAATACACATATTGCTCCACTTGCTAACATCCCATAAGTCCCTTAGGATCTTTTTCCTGTTTTCTTTTTTTTTCTTTCTGCTCCTCTGATTTGATAATTTAAATAACACATCTTCAAGCTTGCTGATTCTTTTTTTTGTCTACTTAAATCTGTTGTTAAATCCCTGTAAGAAAGTTTCAGTTCAATTATTATATTTTTCAGCTGTAGAAGTTCTGTTTCATTCCTTTTTATAGTTTTTATGTCTTTGCTGATATTCTCATTTTGTTCGTGCACCATTTTCCTGATTTCATTTAGTTCCCTCACTGAACATCTTGATGACAGTTATTTTAAATTCTTTGTCAGGCAGCTGATAGATCTGCATTTATTTAGGGTTGGTTCCTGCAATTTTATTTTGTTGCTTTGATTGAGCCATGTTTCCCTATTTCTTTGTATGCCTTATAATTACTTTTTCTGGTATTGGGAACCTGGAAAAACAAAGAGTACTTTCAGTCTTTGATACTTTGATAGCTTTGTGCAGGGAAAGATCTTCACCAATTAGGTAAGCTGGAAGTTTTGGGACTCTTAAATACTGTTATGATTGCTTTCTCCTCCTTATTTCTTCCTGTGAAACTGTAGCTCTAATTTGCTCTGACCTTTGTCTTTAGTGGCTGCCAAACTCTGGCACCAGTCTTGTCAGTGTTCTGAGTCAGGCAAGAGAGAAACCAGTCTCTTGGCAGGCTCCAATACAGGCCAGAATATTGAATGCATTGTATCATTCATGTGTTTGTTTCTATCCAACAGAGGAACTTTATATGGGAGGTTTCCTCCCAGTTGCTTCACATTATGTCATATGGCTTGAGAGACAGGAATAGACATGTGTCAAATGATGCAAAATTTCCTACTTCTTTCACTAGAATCTCTTCTTTGTTTTATAATGGCCCAGATGCTGTTGCTTCTCAACTGACCTCTAGAGTTCCACAGGTATTTGGATCTCTATATTGTTAACTTGTTATCTCTGTGGGTAAGGAGAGTCTATAGTTTCCTAATCTGCTATCTTGTTGACATCACTTTTCCTCTCCCCATAAAAGGCAAATTTTAAAGGAGATATAAATGTAAAAAATTATAACATTTGATTATGTCTAGAATCATGATAAGGGTTAAAACTCTTTGTTATTTATCATGGTGCTCACCATTCAGTGCAAGAAAAAATTGGGAACAACTTAAGTGTCTAAGTTAAGACAAATGGTGAAATAAATTTTGATACATCCAAAAATTGGAATGTTGTGGAAGCACTAAATAAAATCTGACCATATTGATAGAAATTACTTATGTTATTTATTTGAAAAAAGATATGCTACATCAATCTGTAGAGAAAAGTTATCTTTTCTTTTAAAAATACATAAATACACATGTTGGAAGAATACAAAATACACAAAAATAATAGTGATATTATTTTTGGATAGTGGAATTACAGAAATTTTATTCTTTTTTCTTATCAGAAATTCTAATGGTTTTAATAATAAACACATATTACTTTTATAGTTATAAAATTATGATGGAAGCTATTTTTTTGTTTGTTTGTTTCATGAAGTACATTGGGAATGGTTACATGATGCCAGGTGCAATGGACACCTCTTAAACTGGCTGCCCAGAATGAAATCTTGGCTCCCTCCTTGTATGACTTTGTCTTTTGGTAATAGATGATTGTTTCAGGTGTGGATTCCTGACCATGGCTGTGACACTGAGATTCATCTTCCTGGGAATATGGAATTTAGAACTCTGAGGCACAAAGTCTGAATTGTTCAAAGCTGAGTCATGTAATAGTAGTCACTGGTTCTACTCATTTGGTGCTTGGTATTTACATTTTCCTTGGGTTTTTCTGAAATACCCTATAATCTTTCCAAAAAAAATTTTTTTTGAGAGAGTCTCAAGCTGTCACCCTGGGTAGAGTGCCATGGTGTCACAGCTCACAGCAACCTCAAACTCTTGGGCTTGAGCAATTCTCTTGTCTCAGCCTCCCAAGTAGCTGGGACTACAGGCACCTGTCACAATGCCTGGCTATATATATATTTTTTGGTTGTAGTTGTCATTGTTGTCTGGCAGGGCTGGGCTAGATTCAAACCTGCCAGCTCCAGTGTATGTGGCTGGTACCCTAGCTGCTGAGCTACAGGCATTGAGCCTCTTCCAAATTTATTTATTAATTTATTTTTGTTTAAACTATTTAGTTATTGATTTGTCTTTTGCAAGCAAAATAATTATAACAAATCCATAAGACCATTCATTGATTCAATAGTCACTTATCAAACGTTTACTTGGTAAGACGTCTATATGCTTTGGTGTAAGTAAAAGCAAGGAAAAACCAAAACACAATAGAACTATTCATATCTATCATATACTTCATAGCAAATATTTTCATGTTTTTGTTCTGACTTCTAGTTTTTGCTAATAGTCTCCAAATACTTGACAAAGTTTAACTGAAATAAGCGCTTTCCCCATAGCGTGAATGTCAGATTTCCTTTAAGTTATATATTTGTGAGACTTAAAATGTACAACATAGCACAGTAACATAAATGTATTTAAGGAAATTTAAATGTATACTTAAGATTGATTAAGGTGATAAATTCTGTTACGTGTGTTTAATCACAATGTAAAAAGTATAGTTATTACAAATACATAACACAGGAACATTTGAAAAGATTGAATATTTAAGTAATTTTTTCTAACCCTTTGGAATAAGCATGATTTTTGTGGCTCAAATTTGCAAAAGGTTTTCACAAGAAAATGAGGGAAAGTTTCTTTGGTAGGGGTAAAGTTTAACTCTTGATGGTATTTACTGTGTGTGTGCATGTTATTAATAATTATCATTAGATATTTTGCTAGGAATACAAATAGTAATTGTCATTTATTTATTCATTTATTCAAAAAGTATGAGTATTACTTATGTAATCAACATTATAGTGTATACAATGATGAATTAGTCTGAGAACTAATCTGCTTTCACTTTAATCAATTATTGACCTTAATCAAGTCTTTAATCAAGTATTGACCTTAGAGATCTTTTAGCATTTTATAAGGAGACATGTTTTTAATGGATTTTTACTAAATCCAGAGTAATTTCTTTTACTTACTATTAAGTCTAGGCTGGAGTAAAGCACTTTTAATATTTATCAATATGCCAGAATATAAAAAGATATGCCATTCTTTTTCTGGTAGGAATCCAATGTTATCCTGCATTAGATTTTCTTTAGCATTATTTTGCATGATTGTAGTGCAAAGTCGAAAAGAGAAGCAAAGTTTATCTTGATTAAATAGAGCTGAAGAAACTACCTATAGGGGAAATATAATTGTTAGGCTAGGGTATTTAATTACCTAGATAAAAAAAAGTGTGCAAAATTTTTGTTAAAAAAAAACTCACCTTAAAAATATTTCTTGTCAACACATCTATTGCAGTTTTAATACGCTTGTCTAAGAAATCTTTCTCATTTTCCAAGTTAGTTTCTTTTGTAATCTTAAGAAGTTTTCTCAGAGTTATTCTCTCCCTTCTCAAATTACTTTCTTGTTCTTTGGCTTTGAAAATTACTGATGAAACAAAAATTTTACGAAACCACCCTAGGGAGAATTGGTACATGTAGTTAATTTGTGTAAGATCAGAAACTAGAAAGTAGAGCAGGGCACCTCTGGTAGCAATGGGGAGATAGATTTTGCGTGTTGCTTGGATTTTATGTTCAGCTTTTTTTGTTGCTTTGATGCGCTTTGAAATTTCATTTGATGTCATTTTGGATTTTCTTAAGGTCTCTAAAATTTCCTCATCATCCAATACACATCCTAAAGACAAACAAAAGTGCATGTAAATAAAAACTGTATAATATTAAATGGCTGTTTCCTTATTCTATGCTCTTGATGTCACAGTTTTTACCATTGGCTTTTTGTTGGTTTTATGTCAGAGATGATTACTTGAATTTAGGCACCTGAGACCAGCATGAGTGCGAGTGAGACCCTGTCTCTACAAAAAATAGAAAATATGGTGGCACATGCCTGTAGTCCCAGCTACTTTGGAGGCTGAGGCAGTAGGATTGCTTGAACCCAGGAGTTTTAGGTTGCAGTGAGCTATGAGATACCACTGCACTCTACTCATGGTGACAGATTGAGACTGTCTCAAAAATTTCCAGAAAATAACAAATATACCATTATTCCATGTTGTGTATTCTGATGTTTTGTATTCTATTCTATTTTTTTTTTTTTTTGAGACAGAGCCTCAAGCTGTCCCCCTGAGTTGAGTGCTGTGGCATCACAGCTCACAGCAACCTCCAACTCCTGGGCTCAAG